TTTTTTTTTTTTTTTTAAAGATGGGGTTTCACCATGTTGGTCAGGCTGGTCTTGAACTCCCGACCTCAGGTGATCCGCCCTCCTTGGCCTCCAAAGTGCTTGGATTACAGGCATGAGCCACCGCACCCGGCCTATATTTGTACTTTTTGTAGAGAGGGTCTTGTCATGTTGCCCAGGCTTAGATTTTTTTTTTTTTTGAGACAAGAGTCTCCCTGTGTCACCCAGGCTGGAGTGCAGTGGAGTGATCTCAGCTTACTGCAACCTTCGCCTCTGGGGTTCATATGATTCTCCTGCTTCAGCCTCCCAAGTAGCTGGGACTATAGGTGCCCACCACCACACCTGGCTAATTTTTGTATTTTTAGTAGAGATGGGGTTTCACTATGTTAGCCAGGCTGGTCTTGACCTCCTGACCTCGTGATCTGCCTGCCTTGGCCTCCCAAAGTGCTGGGATCACAGGCGTGAGCCACCGCACCTGGCCAGGTTTAGATCTTTTATAGTCATTCTGTATCCATGTGTAGCAAGTTGATACAGTGAATGCTTAAACTTGAGTCATATACACTTTCCAGTTTGCCTGCAACAGTTCAGTTGTCTCAGTTTAGACATTTCAAATTGCTTCTTTCAGTCTCAAACATGTTCTAGTTTGGATAATAAATGATGTCTTAATTTGGACAGTAAGTTATAGCATATATAATACAGTCATACTTTGCTTAAGGATGGGGATATGTTCTGAGAAATGCATGATTTGGCAATTTCATCATTGTACATGCATCGTAGGGTGTACTTATACAAACCCAGCTGTTACAGCCTATTGCTGCTAGGCTATAAACCCTGTATAGCATGTTGCCGTACTGAATAATTGTAGGCAGTTATAATACAATAAGAAGTATTTGTGTATCTGAACTCAGAAATATACAGTACAAGTGTGGTATTGTAGCCTTATGGGACCAGAGACCACCATAGGTGGTCTGTCATCAACTGAACTGTTATGTGGCACATGTCTGTATTTTATGTACATATTATATATAGACACACGTATACATGTTACATATAAAGATTACTTGGATAATAAGTTATATATATGATCCTAATTACAAGGATTTTATGACTGTGTGAAAGTGGCTATGAACACTATTATGATACTAGGTAAAACAAGGACTTGAAAGGAAAATTTCTGTAACCTTTTTTCGAACTGTATAAAAGTGTTAATTTACTTCTGCCTGTTTCACTGGGTGGTCAGGAGAATCAAACTGATATGTAAAGGGGTTTGAAAACATATATGATACACTGAGAAAAAGGATTGTTACCTTAAAAGATCCTGTTTTCTGGAAGAGTTCACATTTGAAGAAAAGATTGCGCCCTGTTACTTGATTCAAAATGGAGCTTGTTAGCACTGGTGTGAGGTGGATAGAATCTCGAATGTTGATATGAGCCTTTTCAACATCAGCAAAGGAGATGCAGTACTGAGCACACATGGTTCTGAAACCCACAAATAAGAAAGGGGTCAAAGCAAAGTCTAAGACAATATGTTTATTGGAGAGATTTTCAAAATGCATAACACAGAATAGACCTGGGGTCTGTGGTGTTAAGTGGAAACTCTCCATTACTGAAGTGCCAAAATTTCTTTCTTTTTTTTTTTTTTTTTGAGACGGAGTTTCGCTCTTGTTACCCAGACTGGAGTGCAATGGCGCGATCTCGGCTCACCGCAACCTCCGCCTCCTGGGTTCAGGCAATTCTCCTGCCTCAGCCTCCTGAGTAGCTGGGATTACAGGCACACGCCACCATGCCCAGCTAATTTTTTGTATTTTTAGTAGAGACGGGGTTTCACCGTGTTGACCAGGATGGTCTCGATCTCTTGACCTCGTGATCCACCCACCTCAGCCTCCCAAAGTGCTGGGATTACAGGCTTGAGCCACCGCGCCTGGCCAAAATTTCTTTATAGAAGAGATTTGACTTGAAGCTGAATGAAGTTTTTCTGGTGAAGCTTTGAGAGAAGCAACTGATGGTGATTATGGAAGGCTAAAGCCCACGCCCCACCCATACCACCCATCTGGTCTCCATCTTTCTTTTAATCATTGTTGTGAAGCTACTTGAATGAATTGGATTCCATTTTTATATACATTTTTAATTTATAAATTTTAATATTTTTAATAAAAAACAAATTATTTGATAAATTAGCTAGACTTTTCCATTTAAACAACTATATTCCTTTTCTGTATTTCTTTTGCATTTTTTCTTTTTTTCTTTGAGATGGATTTTTTTCTTGTTGCTCAGGCTGGAGTGCCAATGGCGAGATCTCGGCTCGTTGCAACCTCTGCTTCCCAGGTTCAAGTGATTCTCCTGCCTCAGCCTCCTGAGTAGCTGGGATTATAGGCATGCACCAGCACACCTGGCTAATTTTATATTTTTAGTAGAGACAGGGTTTCTCCATGTTGGTCAGGCTGGTCTCCCAACTCCCGTCTCAGGTGATCCACCCACCTTAGCCTCCCAAAGTGCTGGGGTTACAGGCATGAGCCACCGTGACCAGCTCCTTTTGCATTTTCAGTATACATTGTATACATTACATAACAGTTAAAGCAAACATTTTGTTTATTCCTACATTTGGCTCAGTTTCTTGACAATTTTCACAATTATAATTTTTTTGTTTTTAATTTTTTAATTTTTTTTAATATGCTAGTCCATTTTACTGATTTTAAAGATGCTGCAATTTTTATACATTTCGATGATTTTTCAACATTTTGCAGCTGTTTGGCTTTGCGGCACAGCAATTCATATACTATACTGTACAAAATTACCAGCAAGACTGGAATGATGTATTAATAGAAGGCACCATCATGCTTATTACCAGAGAACAAAAATGCAATAAAGACAGTTATCACTGTACACAGCTTAAAGAAAGGAAAAAGGGGAGGAGGAGTGTGTTGAGCAGCCAGCCATCCCTGTACTGAAGAGGGGCAGGTAGAAAAATCTTAGATATGGAGCTACTAAATCTGGTCTAATAGTCAAGACCATCGCATTTGAAGTTCTAATTTTTGTTATTTAGTTCATAACTAAAATTATTTCCTTCTGGAATATACTTGTAGTCTTGTTAAGGTTTATGTGTACACACGCTGGCCACAGCAAGCAGATAAAATGCCCTCATCATTTCACAAACTATTCTCTACTGGAAAAGAAGATGAAAGATTTTTTTCCCTGTTGCCACCTGTTGCAGATGTCAATGTTAATGAGTTCAGAGTACCCGTTAGTGCATTTTGATGAGTGCATAACAAGTTTCTGTTGGTTTGTGTTTTTGGGGGAAGCCAAGAAAAAGGCAAGATTCTCCAATTTCACAAATTGCACTATTTGTATTCCCAACATTAACAGGCAGAAACAGTTAACACTTAAAGAAAATGTGCAGCAGCAGATTTTTTTTTGACTCAAAGGATCTGAATTCAGTGGGCATGTCCTTTTCAGTTCACTTTGTCATAGATAGTTTAAAATATGGTCAGTTCTCAGTCCTTAATTCTCCAAGTCTAGATTTATAAATTAACAATGTGAATCCTGTTGTGAAACTGGGGAAATAATGTCCACCTCAATTTAACTGATAACCAAAAGATGCTTTTCACATCAAAGAAATGATCAAAAAGGCTGTGTCACATTCCAAAGCCAAAAAAAAAAATTAACAAGAATGCAAACATGATGAATATTGTACCACTGCCAAGACTCTGCCAACAGTGGAGCTTCAGCGACGCTGTCCTGTGAAGCGGCCTTCCATTTGCCCGGTTCCTCTTCCAGAGCCAAGTTTCTGTGCCATGCCACCCCTTCGAGGAGGTCCTCTTCCATCACGATCACACATCATTCCGCCACCCACAATTCCACGTGGACCACCAGGACCTTGATCATTGCGCCTAATATCCCTGCGATCATCACCACCACCTCTGGTTTCTCGCTCTCTTGCAGCTCTTGTTTTTTTCTCTTCCATATTTAAACGTACTTCTCCTCGAAACATAATCGGTTTTGCAATTAAGATTCTCTGAACTGGTTCAGAGTCATCAAAAACCACAAAGCCAAAATTTGGAAGCTTTCCCCCAACACCCTTGGTATTGATGCGAAGTTCCACAACGTTTCCAAAACTCATGAAGAATTCTTTCAGTTCATTTTCATCAATATCATGTGGCAAGTTACCAACAAAAAGTTGATGACTATCTGGATAGCGAATTATTCTACGGTTGTCAGTCATTCTGTTCCATATTTCCTCTGCCTGGTCTTGGTCCTCTAGGGGGGAAACCAGGTCGCTCTCTAGGTCGCTGTTCACGCACACGAGGTGGCTGAGATTGAACTTCTGGTTTAGCTTCAACTCTTGGCTTTGGTGGTTCTTGTGGCAGAGAAACAGGTTCTGCTGGAGGAGGAGTAGCAGATTTCTCCTCTAATTCTAAGTTCTTAAAGGTTGGGTTTCACCATATTGGTCAGGATGGTCTCGAACTCCTGACCTCAGGTGATCTGCCCACCTCAGCCTCCCAAAGTGTTGGGATTACAGGCGTGAGCCACCGAGCCCGGCACAATTATAATTTTCAATAACTACATTAACCTTCCGCTTTCCACTGTGTTTATTGTAGCAGTTAAATATGAAGTTTCTCTATTTTTCCTTATTACAAAAGAATCTATGTTCATTAGAAAACCAAGTTAATAGTCAGGTGTAGTGACTCAAGCCTGTAATCCCAGCACTTTAGGAGGCCATGGCGGGCGGGTCACAAGGACAAGAGATGAGACCATCCTGGCCAACACGTTGAAACCCCGTCTCTACTAAAAATACAAAAATTAGCTGGGCGTGGTGATGCGCACCTGTAGTCCCAGCTACTTGGGAGGCTGAGCCAGGTGAATTGCTTGAACCTAGGAGGCAGAGGTTGCAGTGAGCCAAGATCTTGTAACTACACTCCAGCCTGGTGACACAGCGAGGCTCTATCTCAAAAAGAAAGAAGTTAATCTGAAAATACAGAGACACAAGACTAACACAAAAATTGCCACTAAACCTTCGTACCTAAGGACAATTGTTATCTAGTGGTTTACCTTTCCAGGCCCAAATACACATGCAGACAAAACTTTTTGATAGGCTTGGTAACTTGTTTTTGTCAGACAATAATATGAATATCAATTAATGTTATCAACAAGTACTCTTTTTTTAAAGACGGAGTCCTGCTTTGTCACCCAGGCTGGAATACAGTGGCATGAGAGTGGCGCATTACAACCTCTGCCTCCCAGGTTCAAGCAATTCTCTGCCTCAGCCTCCCAAATTGCTGGGATTATAGGCGCATACCACCACGCCTGGCTAATTTTTGCATCTTTTTAGTAGAGACGGGGTTTTACTATTTTGGCCAGGCTGATCTTTAACTCCTGACCTCATGATCCACCGGCCTCAGCCTCTTAAAAGTGCTGGGATTACAGGCATGAGCCACTGCGCCCAGCCAATAAGTACGTTTATTCAACTTTGTTTGTTTGAGAGAGTTTTGCTCTATCACGCAGGCTGGAGTCCAGTGGCACAATTGAGGCTCACTGCAACCTCTGCCTCCTGGGGTTCACACAATTCTCCTACCTCAGCCTCCCGAGTTGCTAGGATTACAGATGCCTGCCACCACACCCACCTAATTTTTATATTTTTAGTAGAGGTGGGGGTTTCACCATATTACCCAGGCAGGTCTTGAACTCCTGACCTTAGGTGATCCACCCACCTCAGCCTCCCAAAGTGCTAGTATTAAAGGCGTGAGCCACCACTCCCAACCCATTTATCCAACTTTTAAAATGACTTAATAGTACTTCTTTTACAAAACTGCGGTAATTTAGCTGGGTGCAGTGACACATGCTGGTAGTCCCAGCTACTTGGGAGGCTGAGGCAGGAGGCTTGCTTGAGCTCAGGAGTGCGTTATGATCGTGCCTATGAATAGCCACTGTACTGTGGCCTGGGAAATGTAAGCAAGACGCTGTCTCTTGAAAAAAAATCTTAATTTTAATTTTACATAACTCAAACGAACATTTGGCTTTCCTGTTGTTGTTGGCTATAATAATGATGTAATGGATAGCCTTGTTGCTAGGTTTTTGTGTACTTTTGTTGAGTCCTTAGGGTAGATTCCACCAAATGGTATTTTGTATCAAAAGGCGTGCACATTGTTGAGACATTTGATAACCACTGCCAAACGGATCTCCAGCAGGGTCCTATCTTACATCAATTTGCACTCCCTACGGCAGTGGAATGCCTATATTCTTCATCCTTGCTGTATCATTTTTATGTGAATTTAATTATGTCTGGTAGTTTTAAGTGACATTAATTACTAGTGATTGAACATTTTTTTCTGAGACAAGGTCTCACTCTGTTGTTGTTCAGGCTGGCATACCGTGGCTCAATTGTGGCTCACTGTAGCCTCAAAATCTTGGGCTCAAGTGGTTTTCCCACCTCAGCCTCCCAAGTAGCTGGGACTATGAGTGTGCACCAGCATATCTGGCTACTTTTAAAAAATTTTAGTTTAGTAGAGAGGACATCTTGCTGTGTTGCCCATGGTGGTCTCAAACCCCTAAGCTCAAGTGATCCTCCTGCCTCGGCCCCCTAAAGTGCTGAGATTACAAGTGTGAGCCACCACACCCGGCCTTCTTAATCTTTACACACCGTTTACTGATGGAATCATTTTCCTCTGAAATGCTATGTTTATCAAAAATTAAATTTCTATGAATGCTTGGGCTATTGTATTTTGTTTCATTGGCCAGACTGCCAATTCTTTTTCCTTTTCTTTTTTTTTTTTTGAGATGGATTCTCATTCTGTCACCCAGACTGGAGTGGAATGGTGCAATCTCGGCTCACTGCAACCTCTGCCACCCGGGTTCAAGCGATTCTCCTGCCTCAGCCTCTTAAGTAGCTGGGATTACAGCTGCGTGCCACCGTACCCCGCTAAATTTTGTATTTTTCTTTTTTTTTTTGAGACGGAGTTTCACTCATGTTACCCAGGCTGGAGTGCAATGGCGCGATCTCGGCTCACCGCAACCTCCGCCTCCCGGGTTCAGGCAATTCTCCTGCCTCAGCCTCCTGAGTCGCTGGGATTATAGGCACACGCCACCATGCCCAGATAATTTTTTTTTGTATTTTTAGTAGAGACGGGGTTTCACCATGTTGACCAGGATGGTCTCGATCTCTTGACCTCGTGATCCACCCGCCTCGGCCTCCCAAAGTGCTGGGATTACAGGCTTGAGCCACCGCGCCCGGCCTTGTATTTTTCTTTTAGTAGAGACAGGGTTTCACCATCTGCGCCAGGCTGGTCTTGATCTCCTGACCTGTGATCCACCCACCTAGGCTTCCCAAAGTGCCGGGATTACAGGTGTGAGCCACCGCGCCTGGCCTCCTTTTCCTATTACACACTATATTAATAAATTCTCCCTTTATTACTCTTTCTAAAATTCATTGGCTTTTCTCGCACATCAATTCTTCCAAGTGAACTTTAGAATTCCTTTATGAAAGTTGCCAGAAATTCCACTGTAAAGATGTATAAATGAATTGGGGGCATTATTTATTTATTGAGACAGGGTCTCACTCTGTCGTCCAGGCTGGAGTGCATTGGCATGATCTCAGCTTACTGCAACCTCTGTCTCCCAGGCTCAAGCAATCCTCTCACCTCAGCCTCCCGAGTAGCTGGGACCACAGGTGCATCGTGCCACCATGCCTGGCTAATTTCTGTATGTTTTGTAGAGAGAAGGTTTTGCCATGTTGTCCAGGCTGGTCTGGACCTCCTGAGCTCAAGTGATCCACCTGCCTCAGCCTCCCAAAGTGCTGGGATTATAGGCATGAGCCGCCATGCCAGGCCTGAAGACTCGATATTTTTTTTTAATGTCAAATATGCCCCCTTGGCTGGGCACGGTGGCAGGAGGATTACTAAAACTCAGGAGTTCAAGGCTGCAGTGAGTTATGATTGTACCACTGAGAGAGCAAGACCCTGTCTCTCAAAAACTGTTGCCTGGGTGTGGTGGCTCATGCCTGTAATCCCAGCACTTTTAGAGGCCAAAGCAAGCGGACTTGAGGTCAGGAGTTTGAGACCAGACTGACTAACATGGTGAAATCCCGTCTCCATTTAAAAAAAAAGCAAAAATTGCTGGGCGCTGTGGCTTACGCCTGTAATCCCAGCACTTTGGGTGGCTGAGGTGGGTGGATTGCTTGAGCTCAGGAGTTCAAGACCAGCCTGGCCAATATGGTGAAACCCTGTCTCTACTAAAAATACAAAAATTAGCCGGGTGTGGTAGCACACGTTTGTAGTTCCAGCTACTTGGGAAGCTGAGGCAGGAGGATCACTTGAACCTGGGAGGCAGAGGTTGCAGTCAGCCGAGATCGTGCCACTGCACTGCAGCCTGGGTGACAGATCAAGACTGCATCTCAAAAAAAACCAAAAAGCCGGAAGTGGTGGCATGCACCTGTAGTCCCAGCTACTTGGGAGGCTGAGGCAGACAAATCACTTGAACCTGGGAGGCGAAGGTTGCAGTGAACCATGACTGTGCCACTGCACTCTAGCCTGGGTGACAGAGTGAGACTCTGTCTCAAAAATAAAATTTTAAAAGCCCCCAAAAAACCGTGCCAGGCCTGAAGACTCAATATTTTTACGAATAAATGTCAATTAAGCCCCCTTGGCAGGGCACAGTGGCTCACACCTATAATACCAGCACTTTAGGTGGCTGAGACGGGCACATTGCTTGAACTCAGGAGTTCAAGACCATCCTGGGCAACGTGGTGAAACCCTGTCTCTACCAAACATACAAAAATTAGCCGTGTGTGGTGGCGGGTGCCTGTAGTGATAGTTCTATGGTAAAAGGTATGGTGCTTCCTCAAAAATTGAACACAGAATCATCCTATGAGCTAGCAATTCCATTCCTAGATGTAGATCCTGTCTACATCTAGGAATGTAGACAGTAACAAAAAAAAAACACAGAAAACAAAAAACTCAGTATCAAAAACAAGATATATTTTGGAGGTTGTAAATAGTCCTCTTAGTTGCAGGAGACAGAATTTCAATCTGAACTACCTTAGAAGGCAGAAGATGAAGGTGTTGAGATTTACTAGCTCATGGAATCCATGAACAGTTGACAAACCATGGTAAGGGCAGGAATATGGAGCATCAGAAACAACTGGAACCAGGGATTTGAGAGCTTCCCAGGCTCTTAGTCTCTCACCTCAGCACGTCGGCTTCTGTTTCACTGCAGACCGGTTGGTTCTATGTGGAACTGTGGCACATGGCTGCTGACAACTCGTATGTTTTACATTTTATGGTTTCCACACTGGAGGGGAATTTTCTTTCTCAGTTTCAGTTCAAAAAATTCTGGGTAAGGACTCTGGCCCATCTTGGCCCAGGACCAGTGGCCAGGGTATGAGGTCATTTAAGAAAACAGTATGCAGTAGTCAGAAGTATTTACATAAATATGAAAAAGAAACAGAATGAGATAAACACAATATCAATTAGGTACATTTAAAAGACATACATACATAAAACAACACTATATATTATTCAAAGATACATGTATATTCAAAGACATATAGCTAACACATGAGACTGACTACCTAAGGGCGGAGGGAAGGAAGAGAAAAAAGATGAAATGAGAAATGCCTTGTTAATGACAGTGTGAATAAATGAGCATGACTGGCTCAATTATCTGTACCTGAGGGGAAAATAGCAAAATAAAGGAGTAATGGAGGAAAGAAAACAAAGAAAAAGTACTTCTGAGTGGGAATACAGGGCATTTTCCAAGTGAAAATAAAGGGGAGAATGCTGGGGAGATGGTTCCATACATATTCATTACAGGAACAGAAGAGACATATCCTGATAGCGGATTGAATGGAGGATAGAGGTGTGAAGAATAACTCCTGGGCCAGGCATGGTGGCCCACACCTGTAATCCCAACACTTTGAAAGTCCAAGGTGGGAAGACTGGCAAAGGCAAGGAACTTGAAACCAGCTTGGGGAACACAGGGAGACCCTGCCTCTGCAACCTTTTTTTTTTTTTGAGATGGGGTTTCGCTCTTGTTGCCCAGGCTGGAGTGCAATGGTGCAATCTTGGCTCACTGCAACCTCCGCCTCCCGGGTTCAAGCGATTCTCTTGTCTTAGCCTCCCAAATAGCTGGGATTACAGGTGTGCGCCACCACGCCTGGCTAATTTTTTATATTTAGTAGAGATGGGATTTCAGCATGTTGGTCAGGCTGGTCTCGAACTCCTGACCTCAGGTGATCCACCTGCGGCAGCCTCCCAAAGTGCTGGGATTACAAGTGTGAGCCACCATGCCTAGCCAAAAAAATTTTTTAAAAAGAATAACTCCTGGGTTTTGACTTAAATGGTGGTACGATTTGCTGAGATTTAAAACAGACGAAGAAATAACTATTTGACAGAAAAATCAGATTTTATTAGTTAAGTCTGAATTGTTTATGAGATATCCAAGAGGATGTACCTTTTTTAAAAATTATTTTTTTTGCCAGAAATGTGTATATATTAGTGTCTGTTTTATTTCTGAATGAACTCTTCAATTTATTTACAGTTCTTTTTCCCTTATTTCTGATTTTGTTTATTCTGCCATTTTCCTTTGTCTTCTATCTTTGTTGAATGCTTAGTTTACTAATTTTTACTTTACAAAAATAATAAAAGCATATTTAGCTACTTATATACTTTTCCTCTGAGTACTGCTTTAAAAGCATGGATTCCATTACACAATGTGTTCATTATCTTAATTTCTTTTTTTTTTTTTCTTTTTTTTTTTTTGAGACAGAGTTTCGCTCTTGTTACCCAGGCTGGAGTGCAATGGCGCGATCTCGGCTCACCGCAACCTCCGCCTCCTGGGTTCAGGCAATTCTCCTGCCTCAGCCTCCTGAGTAGCTGGGATTACAGGCACGCGCCACCACGCCCAGCTAATTTTTTGTAGTTTTAGTAGAGACGGGGTTTCACCATGTTGACCAGGATGGTCTCGATCTCTTGACCTCGTGATCCACCCGCCTCGGCCTCCCAAAGTGCTGGGATTACAGGCTTGAGCCACCGCGCCCGGCCTCATTATCTTAATTTCTAAGTAATCCAAGATATTAGTCTTTTTTTCTTTTTTGACCCATCAATTATTTAAAATTGGTGTTTTTGTTTTGTTTTTGAGACAGAGTCTTTATCTGTTACCTAGGCTGGTGTGCAGTGTGGCACAATCTTGGCTCACTGCAGCCTCCACCTCCTGGGTTCAAGCAATTCTTCTGCCTCAGCCTCTGCAATAGCTGGATTACAGGCACGTGCTACCATGCCCAGCTAGTTTTTGTACTTTTTTTTTTTTTTTTTTTAGTTGGGGTTTCCCCTGTTTTCCAGGCTGGAGTGCAGTGGCACGATCTCGGCTCACTGCAACCTCTGCCTCCCGGGTTCAAGCGATTCTCCTGCCTCAGCCTCCTGAGTAGCTGGGACTAAGGGTGCGTGCCACCATGCCCGGCTAATTTTTTGTATTTAGTAGAGACGGGGTTTCACCGTGTTAGCTAGGATGGTCTCTATCTCCTGACCTCATGATCTGCCCGTCTCAGCCTCCCAAAGTGCTGGGATTACAGGTGTGAGCCACCTCTCCCGGCTTTAGTTTGTGTATCTTTAGTAGAGACGGGTTTTCCCCATGTTGGCCAGGCTGGTCTTGAACTCCTGACCTCAAGTGATCCACCTGTTTCAGTCTCCCAAAGTGCTGGGATTACAGGAGTGAACCATCGGGCCTGGCCTAAAATTGGTGCTTTTTTTTTTTTTCCCCTCTGCTTACTCTTTGAACATGCACATGAGAAAAATTGGTGTTTAAAAAGATATTCCAAATTGTTAGAATTTTTTTGCTTAATTTGTGGCTATTCATTACTAGTTTTATTAATTTGTTCCCAGTAAATGTGAGCTGTACAATTATTTCTTTTAGAAATTGAATTCAGGGCTGAGCATGGTGTCTCTGGCCTGTAATCCTAGCACTTTAGGAGGTCGAGGTGGGTGGATCACTTGAGGTCAGGAGTTCAAGACCAGTCTGGTCAATATGGTGAAACTCTGTCTCTACTAAAAATACAAAAAATTAGCTGGGCATGGTGGTGAGTGCCTGTAATCCCAGCTACTCAGGAGGCTGAGGAAGAGAATTACTTGAACCTGGGAGGCGGAGGTTGCAGTGAGCCAAGATCCTGCCACTGCACTCCAGCCTGGGCAATAAGAGCGAAACTCCTCTTAAAAAAAAAAAAAAAAAAACCCAAAACCAAACAACTCAGCAGGTTTCCTTTGTGATACAGGCCTAAATATGGTTGTCTTTCTTTTCATTTCTTTTTACCTGGTATTTAATGAATCCTTTAAATCTGAGAATTCAAAAATTTCCACCAACTTAGTAGATCTTCTTCTACTACTTGATTATTGCTTCTCTGCAGTCAGCTGGAACTGATATTCCAGATATGAGTTCCAAATATGATATTCTGGAACCCATATTTAATTAATTATTTATTTATTTTTTTTGAGATGAAGTTTCACTCTGTCACCCAGGCTGGAGTGCAGTGGTGCAATCTCAGCCCACCGCGACCTCCACCTCCTGGGTACAAGCAATTCTTCTGCCTAGGCCTCCCGAGTAGCTGGGACCACAGGCGCGTGACACCACGCCCGGCTAATTTTTAAATTTTTTTTAGTAGGGGTGGGGTTTCACGGTGTTAGCCAGGATGGTCTCGATCTCCTGACCTCGTGATCTGCCCGCCTTGGCCTCCCAAAGTGCTGGGATTACAGGCGTGAGCCACTGCGCCCAGCCCCTAATTATTAATTTTTTGAACCTATTCTCCATGTCTCCTATCTTTGTGTCTCAGTTTTTATCTGTTACCTTTTCCCTCTGAGTTCTGGTAAATTTTCTTGAACTGATTTAACTTTTGGCATGTCTAATCTGCAGTTCACTGACACTGCTGCATTAAATTGGCAGTGCCATTTGTCCTAAGAAAGTTTTCCTGTTTTCCATTATTTTTCCATCTTAAAAAAAAAACCATGCAATGACCTCTTACATTTCAATGTGAAACAGATAATTTTTAACACTTTTTCCTATTTCTCTCAAATCTGATGACAAAGGTTTTCGTTTGCTTTGACCACTCAAATCGTTCCTCTTCTGAACTGTTGAATCTTTTCACCCACATGACTTTCTCCTTATGCTTAACCTGGTGTCATGAAAAAGGAACTGAACGAGTCCTGTCAGAGGTTGCTGCAATCCTTTCAGCTTAGACTAAGGAATAATTGGTAACTATCCTGTGATGGGTGCGGTCTAAGGGCCTGTGGGGCTGTGGAGGAGCAACAGGTAGAGGCCTTGGGGAAGGGAGTTTCACCTCTGCACAGCTCTCCCAACACAGGTTCAAGTACCAATCTTCAGGTCTAGTTAAATTTTAAAGATGGGAAATTAAAAAGTCAACCTGAAATACAGAGAAGTAATTTTTTTTTCAAGAATCTATAGTGACACAGAAACTCCCAAATCCACTTTTTTTTTTTTTTTTGGCGGAGTCTCGCTCTATTGCCTAGGCTGGAGTGCAGTGGCATGATCTTGGCTTACTGCAGCCTCCGTCCGCTTCCTGGGTTCAAGTGATCCGCCCTTCTCAGCCTCCTGAGTCGCCGGGATTACAGGTCCCAAATCGACTTCTATACCTCCTGATATACTTCCTTGCACACGATTCCAACTATATCGTATCTATTTTTTTTTTTTTTTTTTTTGAGGCGGAGTTTCACTCATGTTACCCAGGCTGGAGTGCAATGGCGCGAGCTCGGCTCACCGCAACCTCCGCCTCCTGGGTTCAGGCAATTCTCCTGCCTCAGCCTCCTGAGTAGCTGGGATTACAGGCACGCACCACCATGCCCAGCTAATTTTTTGTAGTTTTAGTAGAGACGGGGTTTCACCGTGTTGACCAGGATGGTCTCGATCTCTTGACCTCGTGATCCACCCGCCTCGGCCTCCCAAAGTGCTGGGATTACAGGCTTGAGCCACCGCGCCCGGCTATCGTATCTATTTTTTAACAGCCAGGGAGCAGGGCCGGGGGTGGTGGCTCACGCCTGTAATCCCAGCACTTTGGGAGGCCAAGGCAGGAGGATCACGAGGTCAAGAGATAGAGGCCAGCCTGGTCAACATGGTGAAATACCGTCTCTACTAAAAATACAAAAGTTAGCTGGGCGTGGTGGCGTGCACCTGTAGTACCAGCTACTGGGGAGGCCGAGGCAGGAGAATCACCTGAGACTGGGAGGCCGAGGCTGCAGTGACCCCGTGATCACACCACTGCACTGCAGCCCAGGCGACAAAGTGAGGCTCTGTCTCCAAAAAAAAAAAAAAAAAAAAAAAAAATAGCCCGGGGGTTTGGGGAGGTGGCTCGCTGTACTGAAAAAGGCTCTGGTAGGTTCTTATCCACTGCGTCACTCTGGGCAATTTATTTCCGTGTCCTAATCTTAAAAATGGGAAGAGTAGAGAGGCTGAGGTGGGTTAATCGCTTGAACCCGGGAGGCGGAGACTGCAGTGAGACGAGATCGCGCCACTGTACTCCAGCCTATGCGACAGTGCCAGACTCCGCCTCAAAAACAAAATAATAAAAAGAAATGGGAATAGTAATAACTACTCTTAGCACATCTTCAAGGTCCCAAGTAATGGCCCGCGGAGCCAGTCCCGGGCCTGTGGTGGGAGAGCCTGGCCTAAGGCGATCAGAGGAGCCCAGGCTGTGGGGTGTCTCTGTCAACCCGGGTCCCCAACTAGCACCAGTATCCTCGGTGGCCACGACAACAGCAATGGCAGCTACAGCCGCGAACGCCCGCCTGGCCTGGCACGACCACGCCTCGTCTCACCTCTGCTCACAGGCGCCGCGCCTCCAGCTCCAGCCTCCGCACGCCTCCCCGGCCGCACCTCTGCGCACGCGCAGCGCACGCCAGCTCGCCCAGGCTTGCGCTCCAGCCCCGCCCCTCTGGAACTGGCGTCCGACGCTTTTCCTCCCAGCGCGGCCACCGTCGTTCGGAAAGGGACGGCGGGAGGGGGCGGGGACAGGCTGG